GCCTTGACAGCTGTAGTATCGTGGACCGGCGATAGGAGGCGAGCAACCGAGCTCGCATGCTTGATCTAAAGACTATTACTTCAATTTTATCTTGATTCAGCTGAAGATAATGTTAGCACATCAATACATTGATTTCTTCTATGTATTGACCCAGCACTCAAATTGTTTCATAATCACCTCTAGACTTCATATTACTTAGCTCTGTGTCATCTACATAGTAATGGTAAGTTGTTGTTTTTTTTATTTAAGTTAGAAGAAGCATGAAGATATTGAATAAGAGGGGCCCTTAGATGGACCCTTGGGGAATGTCTGTTGTACGTTTTCAGGCCTCTGATGTAAAGTCCATGGAATTCAAGTAGGATTTAATTCAGTGCAGTGCTGGACCAGACAGACCAACATAGTTTCCCAAGCGCTTTAATAAAATGGACCAATCAACAATGTCAAACGTGGCACTGTGGTTCTTCCACAGCCTGACTTTATACCGATGTGATTGAAAACCTTAATCAGGGCAGACTGCACTGTGGTGAGCACTGAAGCAGCTGGCCATTGTCAGGGAGGTGTTTATCTGTTGAAACACAGCTATCAAAATCCTTCAGATTTGTTGCAGGCCTTGGTAGAGTGGAGTTCAGACTTTACGGTTAGAGGAGGGTTTGTTAACATGTGGATCATAGTAGAAAAGGCAAAAGCTTTATTAATGTTTTTGCAGACAATCTCAGAGAAGAAAGATTCTCTTACACTTTTTCAGTTGTAACTTATATCTGCAGAGCTTCTCTTTATAAGATAGTCTTTGTCACCTGTGTTCAGCTGTTTGTCACTTCCATTTAAGCAAAAAAAAAGTGGCTTTATTTTAAAAAAAGGCAAATTTTACTGAGCTTTAAGTGCTGTTATCAATGCTGAACATGTTTGCTCGCTCCAAACAAGCAGGTTTGATTTCTTTATAATAAACTAGTCAACTTCAGATTTCTAATAAGATATTAAAGTGTGTGCATATGTGCTTTTTGCTTGTAGCGTAATCCCATACAGATCATGTTCAGAGAAGAACCTAATTACGTGAAGGTTATTTTATGTTGTGAAAGCCAGGCTTGTTTTGTCCTGCAGCACAAAGCTCATTGTGTGCACGTGCCGTTGAGTGTGCCAAACTACAGTATCTGTTGGTGAGGAGGTGAGGATGGTGGAAAGGCTGTGGCATTGTCATTATTTTAACTCTGCAAGAAGCCGTCCTTTAAAATAACAGAGTGTGTTGTTCTGCTGACCGTTTTGTAGTGGCTCCCTTTGTCACTTGCGACTCGTCCAGACCAGAGGGGTAATAATCTATTCTGTAATGAGCGACTGCACACACGTAATCCGGCCTGCCCCGTGCCAAGACAATCTGGCTGTACCGTGTCTCACACGTGAGGACAGGAAGGCAAAACAGAGAGAGAGAGATGGGGAGAAAAAACCAAAACATCTTTCCTGCAATCTGTCACTGGAACAAGAGTGAAAGAATCCACTCGGATATTTATCCAACACACATATTCTTCTAAGGGCATGAAAACCTCTGTTAGACGTTTTTTTTTTTTTTTTTTCATTTTTTTTGGAGCTTGAAATACTTTGCTTAAAACTGAAATATTTGAGCTATCTTTAAAAGACTTCCACAGGATTTTGTAACATTTTTGAATTTGCAGACGGAGATAAATCCTGTTTCCCAGTCATAGTCTGCAGGAGGTGGGATCTTATGGAAGCACAAAACTGGATGATCCATCTCCTCAGACCAGTACTTTTACCAATTTGCTTAGATCCCAGCTGGAGAACAAATTTAGTTTTTGTTCAATATATCTTAATATTACTATTATAGATAAATACATCAAATTGTAGATTGTTCAAAATCTAATAAGCCCTGACTACCTTGTATTTGCAATAAACATTTATTTTTTTTCAATTATTTCCTCCAGATAGTTACTCTAGAAATAATAATAAAAAAAAAATTAAATATTTAGGATAGAAAAAGAACAAAAATCTGTGATACTGGGCTTATTTCTGAACATCTGATGGCAGTGACGGTTGATTCTGGTTATGTGCACAATGTGCATCAACAGGCATGAGTGAGTGACACACCAACGTGGACTTATGGTCGTCTGAGCTCCATTTATAAGAGTAGTCTACAAAGAGTTAAACATAAGATATCCAAAAAATACGCAGAAAAAAACAGGAAGTATAAATATTCCAGCAACAACAGTTTTCACAATATCCTTCTGAATTTTTTTACCAACATGTTTGATGGTTTAAAACAGCAATTAGCAGTAATCTAATCCCTGCTGAAAAGCTTTAAGACCTCAAAGACCTCTTTTCTTCATATCCAGCTACTCTCTCCTAAAATTAATCCAATAAAAAAATACTTTATTGATCCAAAAGGGAAGCTAAATATTGTTTTAATTCCAAAGTATTTTTTTCCCCTTACAACTTATTATAGATGTTATTAGCTTTAGGCAGGGAGGATCTTCTGGAGAAGCCTGGAAAGTGACTGGTTTCAAAACTGCAGGCAGTCAATCAAACAACCAACCCACCCCTTACAGATGGACCTATAGATCTGTCTCAGTGAGATTGTCCAAATCATTCAGGTCAAGAAGGAAATAGAGTCTCAGCAAGTTTTAAGAAGACTGTTGTATCCTTTAAGAACACCTCCAATTGGTTGAGCAGATGCTCTGAACCACATTAGTAGACATTTTTTCAACCCAGATCAGCAGCACTTCTACTCTGAGTTTCCTTCAGGATGATGGAGCTCCTCCTTCCATCCTTGACTCCGTTTTCTTTACCAAAGCAGATAGAAGAAACCAGTATCCATCTACACATTCATCCAACCATCTCTCATGAAAAAGACACCAAAATGGGCAAATTAGAAAGTGAGGGTTTGTTAAATACTGGAACCAAAGCTTAAAAATGGCAGTTGACCAACCAACGGGTAACATGGTCCATGAGTGGCTGGATTTCATTAACTTCACTGAAGGATATTAGGCCAGAGGTGGAAAAACTACCAGTTTATGATCAAACTTCCGAGGTCATCGTCAACCGCAGCCTCATGTCTGGGATTATAGCGGTCCGCAGGAATTACAGGTTGTTCAATATCACACCAATAAAAACATTACAGGGACTGTAATTGTTCTTATGGATTCTGTCTACAGTTAAACACTGCAATAAATCCAGTAAATTCATGGTTAGGGGGGTTCCTGAGGGACAATCTGTAGCTTTACGGGTCAGCAGGTTAATCCATCAGCTGGTAATTGGTGTAAAAATGCTGCTAAGCCACGAAATGGGATGACATCCAGAGCAGGGGACCTTCTTTAAAGGAGATCAAGTGTTGTAACCTGCTTCATTTGTCAGGAGGGCTTACGGGACTCTGGAGGTAAAAGATTACAATTTTTCACTGATTAATGGATAAGAAGCTTTAGCACAGCGACAGACACCAAGGGACAATCAGGACCATAAAGGCAGTAGGGTTTTAAACTAACAGATCGGAAGCAGTCCTGCCATATGTAATATAGAACATATGGAAGAATTAAAACCCAGCTTAATAAACTACAGGATTTATGGTTACTTGAATTGTTTTAAATTTTGTCAAACATCTCTTCTTTTTTCTGTACTTTTTATTGGCCTTTTTTTTTTTTTTTTATCATTTTTTTGATTATTACAGACTATGATTCTGTAATAAATCCATCAAAGTAGGTTTCATATGCTAATGAACCAGTCCATGATGGGGAAAAGGTGGAAGTAAATCTTATTTTTCTTTATCACAAGTAAAATATTACAAAGAGAAGCTTTTTTTTTTTTTTTTTCGCAAGTAAAACGTCTTCACCGGGTTGACCTTATGGGGGTTTGGTCTAAAAACATTGCAGCTCTGGTTGTATGTTTAGGGTTGTTCTGCTAAAGCATTTAGCAGCATTTCTTACAGTATTTTATCTGTATGAAGCACCTTCACAGCTTAATGCTGCCTCCATCTTTCAGGTCTGGGATGGTTTGTTAAAGTTGATGAGCAGTTTTATCCGTCTATTACATAATATGCACAAAGGCTACAAAACAATGGGAAACCAGGGGGCACTAGGGGCACCAACAGGGCCTCAAGGACTACATGGGGAGCCCAGCACAACTCACCAGTGGGCCAAGAGTTAAATTTCATTTCATTCTGTTGCTTTTTTCCATCCCAGCACTTTCGTTTATGGATTTGGATGGCTGGAAAAGATAATTCGGAAATCAAAGAAACATTAAAATATTTATTATGCATGAAGTTCAGGTGAATGCTGACTCCTCCAGCTTGTATTGGTAGCCCTTATGTGACTCAGTACAAGTAGCTTTAAGCCATAAAAAGGTTGATGAAACCAGCTTTAAACCAAACTTTTCTTGAACACAAATCAATGACTTTCTTTACGATTTTGTTCATTATGTGGTTCTGCAGTTCCTAGATACTAGGCCCTCTTTTCTTCTCCAATTAATGCCATCTTTATTATGCCTGTTTATTAAAACGGCCATGTTTATTAAAACGGCCATGTCCTGCTCTGTTTGTAGTTTTGCTCCACCTTCGAATTTTATATGCAACATTTTTTGTAAAAAAACATTCCAAATGCTCTGATCTTTCCATTTTATAAATTTTGTGTAGACATGTTTTCTTCCATTCAATCTTCTGCTTCAGTTACTCTAAATCTGCAAAGCATTAACTTTAAACTCCTTTTTTTTTAATAATAGAAAAATCTATATTCTGCCCAAAAAGCCTGTTATGATAATGTGCGTGTAACACCTCTAAATAAAATGAAAATTGGAAATTGGCAGAGCAAATGAAGGATTGTTTTGGTCATATTCATTATTGCATCTGAATTAGTAACCATCTAAAGCTGAAACCCTGAACAGGCTCAGCTGTAAACTAGAAGGACTGTATGAAACCTTTATTCTCAAAGAAACCACATTATATAAAGCTACAGAGGTCCTAAAGTTACATAAGCACCACATCAATGACTAAAAACACAAAAAACACAGTTGTTTTTTACATTTTATTCAACTTTGTTACAGGCAATTATGTGATCTCCTTAAAGGTTCTCTTCTCCACGTATTTCACCTTGAGTCTCCTCTTAAACCTAGAAAAGATGAAAATGTAAGTTTTTCCTCATTTAAAGCCAAATAAATCTGCAAGGATAGTCAATTATAATTTTTAAAAAAGTGAAGCTTAGAGTCTTACTTGGCTCTCTCTCTGGGTTCAATGAGGTTCCTCTTCTGTAGACTCTTGAAGCGATCCTTTAGGATGCTGCCCTCTGGCTGCAGAGTCATGACATGACAAGAAGAAAGGCCAGAAATTAACACAGGTCACAATTTCACTATTAGGGCCATAGGTGATGAAAGAAAAATAAATAAAGGGTATATTTTCATCAAAAAAATTGAAAAATTTTTAAGATTTCACATATTTTCCACGAAAAAAAATAAGTCTGAAACTTATTCATTTACAAAAATAAGCTTAGAAATTTTAATGATTAAAAAAGCAAAAACTATTCTGATATTTTAAGGTCAGAAATGTGCAGAAAAAATGCAGATTCTAAATGAGACATTTCTCAAAACCTTAAAATCTTAAGTTTCCTGATTTAAGTGGCAATTTTACACGATGTGCTTCTCAACAATATCGAAAATAAGTAACTACATACAGGATCTTTTTCCCTATCTGAATGACGCCTGAGGTGAAGATTAACCATGAACTGAGGGGCTCATTTACCAGCAGAGCTCATTCCTGACCTGCATTAGTTATAGCAGCAGTAAACAGCCAAGATGGAGCTTCTTCCACACAGACAATTTCTCTGCACCCGAGAGAAGTCATTCTCATGCAGAAAAAGATCTCCTATATCCAAAAGCACATCTTGTAACTTTATTATTAAATGTTTTAGGAACTTTGAAATTTTTGAGAAACATCAGATTTAGGATCCATTAAGCTTCCGTTTATCCTAATATTTTTTTTTACTTGTTGATTTAAAACATGAAATGTTTTTAGAACGTCACATTTTTTTAAGGAAAGTAACCTTTCAAAGTAAAATAAAAAATAAAAAAATTTCCGATTTTTTTCTATTCCTTTCTTGAAAGTTTGTGGGACTAATGTCAAAATTATATTTTCTCCTCCTTTTTCCTCCCTTTCGTTAATAAAGTCTCTAATACTCAGTGGTAAAACTCCTACCTGAAAAATCATGAAATCTACACTTGTTAAGGTTGATTAAAGTGATCAGACTGCGGTTAGAAATGTGTGAAGGTTCTGCTGACATGGCAGGTCATGAGAATATTACAGGAGTGTTTAAAGCTTAGAGCGAGACAGAATAGAAAGCTGGAAAACCTCATCATATAATCTACTAAAACCAAAGTTTGTAATTAGTGACGACGTACCTTGAGCCGTCGGAGGGAGCCGGCCAGCTCATCACTTAACTGTACGTCCAAATCAGGAGCCTGGAATCTGTACAAGAAACAAAATGGGTTATAATAAAGAAAGTAGCTTAAAAAGCAGATTGCTACAATAAAAAATATTAGTTAGGAAAGATGAAGCATCAACACTCAGAGTTTAGCATCAGAAAACTGAAAATCTTCAAGAAAGTTCAAGAAACTCATTTAAATCTTTAAACATGTTCTATAAGAAAACAGTTTGCCTAAATGTTTGACGGGAGCAAGAAATTTATATATAGATTAAAGAAATAAAAAATGATCAGGAACTTAGTTTCTAGATTTCCCACCTGGCTTTTTTTTTTTTTTTTTTTTTTTTTTTTTTTCCTGCTATACAAAAGTCTGCATAATTTTAAA